CCTACACCAGGTTGCACAGGAAAGCGTCCAGGCGGATTTTGAACATCTCCAGAAATGGAGACTCCACAGCCTCTCTGGGCAGCTTATTCCACTGCTCCAAATTGGGACCACTACTGTTCCATGTCTTCATCAATGACATAGTGAGATTGAGTGCATCCTTAGCAAGTTTGCAGACAACACTGAGCTGAGTGGTGTGGTTAACATACCTGAGGGATGGGTTGCCATATAGAGGGACCTAGACAAGCTTGAGAAGTGCGCCTGTGTGAACCTCATGAGGTTCAACAAGGCCAAGTGCAAGGTCCTGCACCTGAGCTGGGGCAATCCCTGGTATCAGTACAGGCTGGGGGATGAAGGCATTGAGAGCAGCCCTGCTGAGAAGGACTTGGGGGTACTGGTGGATGAAAAGCTGGACATGAGCTGACAATGTACGCTCTCAGCCCAGAAGGGCAATTGTATCCTGGGCTGCATCAAGAGAAGCCTGGCCAGCAGGTTGAGGGAGGTGATTCTCACCCTCACCTGCAGTGCTATGTCCAACTCTGTAATCCTCAGCACAAGAAAGAGATGGCCTTGTTAGATTGAGTCCAGAAGAGGGCCACAAAAATGATCTGAGGGCTGGAGCACCTCTCCTATGAAGAAAGGCTGAGAGAATTGGGGCTGTTCAGCCTGGGGAAGAGAAGGATCCGAGGAGACCTTATTGCACCTTTCAATACTTAAAAGGGGCCTATAATAAAGATGGAGAAAAACTTTTTGGTAGGACCTGTTGCAATAAGGCAAGGTGTAATGGTTTTAAACTAAACGAGGGGAGATTTAGACCGGATATAAGGAATAATTTTTTTACAATGAGGGTACTGACACACTGGAACAGGTTGCTCAGAGAAGTGGTAGATACCCGATCACTGGAAACATTCAATGTTACGTTGGACAGGGCTTAGACCGACTGGATCTGGTTCAAGATGTCCCTGCTCAGTGCAAGGGGTTGGACTAGATGGTCTTTAAAGATCCCATCCAAGCCAAACCATTCTGTGATTTACATTACGAGGATCATTAAGGTTTTTCGGTATAAGGAACTTTACACGTGACTTACAATGTAGCTTAAGATTGCCTAAAAAAAAATATCTTTTAGTAAAATTAAATTGACTGCTGCTAAACAGCAGTACATCTCAAACATTTATTTGGATTCTTTGCAAAATTAGACTCTAAACTTTGCAAAGATTAGGTTTTCATATATGTTCAAGAAGTTTCTGCTTCTGAAAAGGATAGATGAATTGTGCAAGAATTTTTATTACTTTGGTTTTTTCCTACTCCTGTCCAGAATAGAAGGGCAAAAGCATCAAAATCTTCATGTGATTTTTTTTTAGAGAAACATCAATTGGGATGAATCTCATTCAGTCCTAATACACCCTGAGCGTTTATTAGCAGCCTCATGTATCGGCTTGTGCGCTTGTATTTTTGAGCATTGGATTAGCAGATTGTGTACACTTGCCCTGAAGGAGGCATTACTGTTGCTGAGGCGTATTATAGGAGTACTTTTAGTTACTTGGACATGCCTATTTACTCCAGCAGAGGGAAGCAGAGCATAAACATGCAGCTCCAACACCTTCCCGATAAAAATACTGTACTCCTAGAGATCCACACCTATTCTATCCACAGGCACATGTCATTGTTGACCAAACACCAAGGAAGAAATCTGAAGAAACTCATAGTTATTAAAGTAGAAATAGCGTTTTATCAGAGTTGGGTAATATATTGATGCCCAAATGCCATGTTAGTGTACATCTGTATTTAGCAGTGTCTGTTCAGGACCTTCTGTTGCTGTACTGTATTGAGATTTACTGAAGCAGCCTTTGACAGAGGTACAAACTGGAGTAGGAGCACAGCAGAATCAGAGTCACTTGGCTTCTCTGCTTTTTATTTATTTATTTATTTATTATTTGCCTAAGGATAGCGGGAAGTCTTGGGAGGTACTTAAACATGAGAGTTCAGTTGATGGTTAATATTTTACAAAAGATAAATCTAGATCCTCATCATATTATTTTTACCTTCGTTTACTGATACTGATTATACTAAATGTCTCATTAGGTAAACATGAGTAATAACAAAATGGGCTGCGACTTCATATCACAGGTATAATTTGTGAACTATAGTATCAGATAATTCTTGTCATTGTGTACTACACAGTGACAGGGTTGACTTGAAATTGTTATTTTTGTTGTTCCTGTGTGTAGTTCAGCCCTGTCTTGTAAAATTATAATAGAAATGCATATGCAAGCGTATGTGTTTCTCACTACAGAATTCTACAGTTGGTGTTTTAATCATATTCCAATATTCCACAGAGACTGGAAATTTCATACTGGTCAGGATCACCACACAAGGATTCTGTTCCTTTGAGGCTAAAAGGGGAGACTGCTAGCTTTCTTTCTTTCTTTCTTTCTTTCTTTCTTTCTTTCTTTCTTTCTTTCTTTCTTTCTTTCTTTCTTTCTTTCTTTCTTTTCAAAATGGCTTTAGGCTTTCGGGATCACATGCTAACTATAATGCCTTGTACTTCCTTTCACTATATAGGCATTACAGTTTCTAGAGTAACAATGCGAACACTTTCTAGTGCTAACTCTTCCATTCTGCACTTTTGTGCTATGCAGAAATATGAAATGTACATTTTATTAAGAAAATAATTTAGTAATCTGCCTACTTCTACAGATAAACGTTCCACTTGACAAGAATGGAAATTTGCTATACAGCAGACAGTTTACATTTTAGACTTAAATGTGTCAGAGTAAATCTTGTTTTTCCTACTTGCATGACGTGTACTTTGGGGGAGCTAGTCACGTGTATGGAGGAAGAAAGATTTGGCCAGCTGTGACATGCAAAGACTATATTCTCTCACAGTAGCACAGGCTACAAAAGCGCAATGATTACTGACAGTGTGATACCTTATTCTCAGTTAGCAAATCTTCACAAATTTTTTTGGTTGTCTTGGCTTCCATAAGATTATTTTACAAATGGTATTCAGGTGCAGACATTTCTCTTTCTGCTTATATGTTGTAGGTTAATACAAGCTGCTAAGAGTCATTCCTTTTCATTCATACTGACTTGGAGTTAGGTGAGCAAGGCACTGAGTGATAACATTCTGTTCATGGAAAGGCCTGCCTACTTTGGGAATTTCCATTGTGATCGGAGAAGTCTGTGACACTCAGCTTCATTTTAAAATCTATTTAAATAGTATTTTTGTGTATCTCTGCTTGCTGGAGCAAGTGTGCCAGCAACACAGGAGTCTGCAGTTAGTATTTCACACAGACAGCTTGCGGAAGTGAGCCAGGTACCGTAACATGGACAGAGATGAAGAAAACTACTACGGAAAACATGGTAACTTACCTACTTTCTTACGACAATTCATAAGCACCTGATCTAAATCTCATTTATTTCAGCTATATTATTTCAATTGACTTTAATGGGCTTGGATCCAGCTCCAAATGGTTTTCTATAACTTCTTTAATTATTATCAGTATTCTGGGTTTTTTCCAGCATGGCATTTGCAACTTTGTTTAGATTACAGATCAAAGGTAAACTTTATATATATATATTGCCCATTTTTTCTTTAGTTAAGTAATTTAGATTAGCTTTTTAAAATTATTGCAGTTATAAAGTGCAACAATTAAATTCATGTGCTGTTTGGAGTCAGAATTGGTAAATTAAATATCTTGTGAAATATTTCTTGTATGTTATTATAATTCAATGTACAAAAGTTTCATGTTATAAAGCAGCCTGTGAAATACATCTGTCTCATCTGCAAAGAGTGAATATCATCTCAGTTTTTAATCTTAGCAAAAAAATGACAGTCATTCTCCCGCACCACTGCTTTCTTCCTTATGCCTACCAAACTCCTAAAGCTTGGAATTTGCTTTCTAGATATGTTTGGGTTTTTATAGTGCAGGAAGTGGTTTGTTTTTACCAGGAGCTATGTAAAAAGAAATAACATAATTCCCACTTCACATCCAAAGAATCTTCTCCATTTTTAAAGAATGGTAGTAATTAAGTAGGGATTTTGATATCTAATTTAGAAAAAATAAGTGTGAAAACAAACAACATTTTTCTTTTTCTGTTGTTCCGTGAAACTATGATCACAGTTACTGTGTCATATATTTTGGTAAGAAGTGTGCCAGTGATGCTACAGACTACTTCTGTCAGTGAATTTTAGTGTATTTTTAACGTAGAATGTAGTTACCTTTTCTCATGTAAACTGCCATATTCCGTAATGGATTTATATCAAGAGCTGAGTGACACAGGAAGACAGTTTGAGCAGTGTTGCACTGCACTGTGTCATGATACACATACTGACTGCTGGAGTGGGGAACAGTTCTTGGAAGCATTCGCAGTACTGCAGTAATTTTACTGCTGTTAATGACTGTTACTATCTCTCAGAATCCTTCGTCTTGCCTGAAGGAGATGAGAGTCTCCATTTGAATCAGAGCTCGTTTTCTGGAGTGCTTTGTTTTTATTTTCTTGCCTATTGGTAGATACTAGTTTTCATTGTAGCAGTATTGTGAAGTTCACATGCATTTTCTTTGTACCCTTTCAGAAGCACACAGACATGACATAAGTAACAACACTTTAGCTATTACAGTGATAGATGCTCTGTTAATAATGATCTTATGGAAAAGAGGACACTTGTGGAAATACATTACATCTTGCCCAACTGGAATTATAAAACCGTTCTGCTTAATGGAGACATTCTGGAAGCTCAGGAGATTGCCCCTGTCAACAAGCTTTCTCAGTACAGCACAGACTGACTGGAGAAACATCTATAAGCACAATATAAGAGTATGGATTTTCTTCTGAAAGTCTATCATGTTTTTGAAAATACAACTTGTTGCTGTACCAAGGAGATCAGAAATCACTCCCTTCTATCTGGAAACTAATGCATAACGTGTGAGAAGGGATTAAAAAACAAACACATTAAAAAATATTTGAAGCATGCTAGATCTTAGCTGAGTGTAACCAGACAATTATAGAATGTGGGGTTGGATGGACTTCAGGAGATCCATTTGACTGTCTCTGTGCTGAGACATGGCACATTTTCCTATTCTCTTCCCAACAGGTATTTGTATAATCCATTCTTAAAAGCTTAGGGTGAGGAAAATTCAGAAGTATGCTTGGAAAACCTGTTGCAGTGTATAACTGCCCATGTGTTCTGAAAGGTTTCCTAATGCCTAATCTAAACCATTTTTGCTGTAAATGAAGTTAGCTTCTGTCTATGGTAGAGGAAACTGAGGACAACTGATCACTGTTGTTTTTATATGGTATTTGAAAACTATTGTTTTGTGCTCCTTCCCTTAATCACAGTCATTTAAGTTTGCATTCATTTACTGCTTTTTATAAACCTTACTGTCTTCTTTTTAATCAGTCCTTCTGCTCTCTCCAATTTGTCTGTATCTTCTGAAATTCTAGTGCTGTGATCTAGAAATAGTTTTTCAGCTGAGGTTTTGTGTGTCCCAGGCACAAGGAACAGCAACTTCACCAGTCATACTCACACTTCTTAAAGTATTATATTTGTTTTAGGAGCTTGGTAAGGTGGACCTGAACACCTCAGATGAAGAGCAAATAGAATCTTACTCTCTGCTGTGTTTATTGTACTGGTCTGTGTGTATTTCGATAAGGTTTTTCTGATATAAACCAAGAACAAAGTCTGGTATTTGGTTAATAAGTAAATTCTGCTTTTGAGAAATTGCTGGATCCTTCTTTAATTGAAGAAAATAAGTATTTTTTCTGTGGGCAGGGGAAAGCTTAGGCTGGTAACACTCTTTAATACTAGGTATATTCAGAAGAGAAGATCCTTAAGAAGGAAATGAGAAAGCGCTCTGAAACAGTAATTTGTATTGTAGCATTGACATTTGAATGAAGAAGTAATTTTTAATTGCACAAAGTTTGGTTCAGTAGATCTCCATGATTACTGAACTTAAAAAGTCTCATAACACCGAACAGCTAGCTTCAAAAGGAAAAATCCAAATCCTGGTCTGTTGAATGAAGGACTGCTTCTTTATCTTCATACAGTAGCTT